AAAATTTTTTTGTTTGTTTTTTTAAGTAAAAATATAAATATATAAGCATATTAAAATTGTTTTTTTAAAAAAAATTATATATCGTAAAAAGAAAGATCGAGATAATATAAAATGTCGAGTAGTGCCTTACGTGCAGTAGTCGTTTAAATGTTCTGGAAATCTTACTCTTCTTCCAGAACGCGTCGTTTTAGGTTTATTTTCAGATACATTCGGAGTATCATCGCTAGTGTTGGTTGTCGGTTGAGGAATTATGAGTGTAGGAGTCGTGTTGTGCGATTGTACCGAAGGAAAGTCGACGTGAATAGGATTTCCTTCTAAATACGCTGCTTTTAAGCGATCGATGCTGATGCTATCGTTTGTTCCGTTCTTATCGACTATATAGTACTTAGATTCACGTTGAAGAACTTTGAAAGGTCCTTCGTATGCTGATTCGAATGGTCGTCGATGCGAGTCTCGACGAACGAAAACGTGTGTACTATATCGTAAGTCAGGTTGAACGAAAACATCAGTTGATTGAGGTCGAGTGGAAGCAGGTTTAACTGAACGCATTGCGTTTGTAAGCCTGTTCGTGTAGGAGGTTAGATCCATGTTCATCGAAGAGCACGAAGGATCCACGAATTCTCCTGGAAGTCGAAGTGTCGTTCCATAAACGAGTTGAGCCGCAGTGTATCCAATGTCAGCTTTCACTGCATTGCGGATACCTAGTAAGACGAGTGGAAGAGCGTCGGTCCACTGTGAAACGTTTGCAGCTGATAGCGAAGCTTTCAGTTGTCGGTGAAAACGTTCTACCAACCCGTTTGCTTGTGGGTGGTAGGCGGTCGTTCGGAAGCGAGTGATTCCTAAAAGTGTGGTCAGACGACGGAAAAGATCAGATTCAAACTGACGTCCGCGGTCTGTAGTGATGGTTGAAGGGCAGCCGAAGTTTGCTACCCATCGTTCGACGAAGGTGCGGGCCACTGTTTCAGCAGTGATGTCCTTGATAGGTACTGCTTCTGGCCATCGAGTGAAACGGTCTACGCAGGTTAAGAGATAAGAGTATCCATTTGAATCTGGTAAAGGTCCTACCAAATCCAGATGAACATGGTCGAAACGAGCATCGGGAGTTTTAAACGAGCCTAAGGGACATTTATTGTGTCTGATAACCTTAGATTTTTGGCAGCTTACACAGGAGCGTGCCCACTCCCTCACGTCTTTATTCATGCCAGGCCAGCAAAATCGTTCTGCTATAAGCTTGATGGTTGCACGAACACCTGGATGAGAAAGTTTGTGCAATGTATTGAAGACATTGCGTCGATAATGTTTCGGCACGATTGGGCGATCCCTACCTGTAGATGTGTCACAAAGTAAGGTTTCCTTACCTGTTCCCATCTGTTTGATGCGTAGTTTAAGTGTTGTGGACGATAACTCGTGCTGAAGATCAGTGTCTTCTTTTTGAAGCTCGGCGAGTTTAAGAAGGTCGATTCCTTGGAAACTGTTCAAGGAAGTTATGCGAGATAAGGCGTCTGCAACTACATTGTTTGCTCCAGAAATGTGTTGAATATCTGAAGTAAACTGCGAAATGTAGTCCAGTTGTCGAGACTCACGGGGAGAGTACTTGTCAGAAGGAGAGCTTAACGAGAAAGTGAGCGGTTTATGGTCCGTGAAAAGAGTGAATTCACGGCCTTCGATATAGTGTTGGAAATGCCGTACAGCACAATACATAGCTAGGAGTTCCCTACCGAATGTGCTGTACCTCGATTCGGTGTCTAGCAACCTTCTAGAGAAAAATGCCAAGGGTTGCCAGGAGTTGTTAACCCATTGTTGTAAGACTCCTCCGATTGCCGAGTCGGATGCGTCTACTGCGATGCTAATGGGTGCTCGGGTGTCCTGATGTGCGAGCATTGTTGCTTTAGCGATCAGTTCCTTAACTGTGGAGAATGCTTTTCGTGCGGTGTCGTCCAAATTAATGGATTTCGCATTTCCACGAAGTTGGTCGGTCAGAGGTTTCATAAGTAATGCGCATTTGGGTATGAAACGTCTATAGAAACTTACCAGGCCGTTGAACGTGCGTAATTGCTTGACGGTGGTCGGTTCTGGGTAATCCAGAATGGCCGCCACTTTGGTTCTAAGGGGTCGGATACCTTGAGCATCGATAGTGTGTCCCAGAAAGTCTAACGAGTCGGTTCCAAATTGGCATTTCTGAACGTTTACAGTTATGCCATGTTTTTGTAATCGTTCGAAAACAAGGTCCAGATGCTTGAGATGTGTTTCTCTGTCCGGACTTGCGATTAGACAGTCGTCAACATACGCGTGTACGAAGTTGAGACCTCGAAAAACGTCGTCTATGAATCTTTGGAATGTTTGAGCAGCATTCCTTAGACCGAAAGGCATTCGCAAAAATTCATAGAGTCCGAAGGGAGTTATGATAGCTGTTTTCGGTATGTCGTCAGTAGCCATAGGGATTTGGTTATACGCTTTAACCAAGTCGATTTTCGAAAAGACAGTTGTACCTTTCAAGGTAGCTGTCAAATCGTGAATGTGAGGCAACGGGTAACGATCGGGAATGGTTTTCGCGTTCAATCGCCGATAGTCACCAGTTGGACGCCAATCGTTGCTGTCCTTTTTAGGGACCATGTGCAACGGAGATGCATATGGGCTACTTGACGGTCGTATGATTCCTAAGTCCATCATGTGATCGAATTCGTTTTTCGCTAACCTTAGCTTTTCAGGAGCTAGTCGTCGTGCTTTAGAGAATACAGGTGGTCCTGTAGTCGTGATGTGATGTGTAACATTGCTGGTTACACACGGTAGTTTCGGTTGAGTTTGTTGTATCCCAGGGTACTTATCGAGTAGTGGTTGATAGAGTGGGTCTATCATATGTTTAACTGTGACTGGGGATACTCTACAACCAGTAAAAGAAGTTACGCAAACGGACAAATTAGTGTTTCCGTCTACTAGCCTCCGTTTGCGAGTGTCGATGATCAGATTGTGGTGTTGTAGAAGGTCCATACCAATGATTGGCATAGAAACATCTGCAACGACGAAAATCCAGTGGATGGGTTTGCGTAAACCCACGTTAAGGTAAACGTACCTTTTGCCATACGTAGCGATCGGTTTTCCGTTTGCCGCCTGTAAGTTTAGGGTCGATTCGTGAAGTCGGTCGTTAGGATTTGCTGGGAGAACGCTAACTTCTGCGCCAGTGTCGACGAGGTAGCGAACTCTCGTTGTCACATCTGTGACGAATAACAGACGGCTTGTTCGCCGGCTACGGTTGCCGTTAACGCGTGCCGGCTTGGAAGTTTCCCGAATTGTTTTTCGAGTCAGTCGGTTTCGTGTTGGGAAAATTGCAGGGTTTTCTGCAATTTCTGGAAAACTTTCCATACTGGTTATGATACCAGCACCAGTCGGGGTTATCTGTCTCTCGTGGTCTAGAGACAGATCGCTTACGAGAAATGCTTCTACGTGGTGTGCGCGATCTCTTACGGTCGGTACGAAGACTAAGATAACGCGTGAGTGTGTGACATAAGTCGGTTATGTCATTCTGAGTCGTGTGAGGCTTTTCTTTGACTGAAAATACCTCGGTAGTAGGTTTCGTAATTTCTAGAATGCGGTCGGCAGATGCAGCTAGCTCGTCTAAGGCGTTGTTCTGGAACGAGACCAGAACTGCTTGCACCTGTTGGGGAAGTTTTGACAAGAAGAGTTGTTTGAATAGACCTTCGTCGAAAGTTCTTGGGCCTATAACCTCTCTCATCCGTTGCAACATGTCTGTCGCAGAACCGTGTTGCAGGTCGATGTTATTGAAGAGTTGATCTAACCTTTGTCGATCGGTTAGGTCTCCTCGTTTAAGAATCGAGCGTTTTAAGATTTCGTAAGGATCGGAAACATCACTAGTAAACATACTAGGTGTTACGTACCTGTTGAATTCGCGCGGTAGTGCCTTGACTACTGCGAGGAATTGTGCACGTGTGTCGATCACGCCGTGCTCGGAAGTCGGCTTCTGCGTAGCAAAACCAGGCTTCGATGTTGTCGGGCCAGAAAGGCATCAGTTGAAACGAAGGTGGGGACAAGGTCTTAAGCTTGAGTACTTTAGGTGTCTGTTCAGTCATGATGAAATATGAAGTACGATAATGAACGAGGGGAAAATATATATATATCCAAGAAAAAAACGAAAAAAATCACAATGTTTAAAAAAATAAAAAATAAGGCAATGATATATAAAAATCCCAAAAAGGAACAGACTCACAGTTGCAATAAGGTGTACCAGATCACGACGGTCTCACCAATGATGATGTCACAGGTATTCAGTGTTTGACAACGCTTCTACCAGTAACACCTAATATATTTCGTTCCCACCAAGAGAAATCAAAAGACAGAGTCGAGGAGATCGGAAGAGTATATTTGGCGATGACCAATATATCGGAATTCTCTGATCTAATCTGGCTAGCGATTGCGGTTGATGTTGAGCACGGCGTTACCACACGTGATCTGGTGCGGATGCCTGACCGAGCGCCTTCAGCTAGATGAGTCCACTAAAACATATGGTCAGCATCCAATGTCGAAAACTTACAGGGCTATTTATTTTGGGGATTTATTTACCGCTACACTGGCTAACGGTTGCAGGAGAAGTTAAGAACGACGTACCCACTCGTGATCTGGTGCGGATGCATGAACGAGCGTCTTCAGCTAGGTGGCTTCAATAAAACTAATGCAGCCACATCAATATCAAAGACTGTCAGAATTTTTTGTTTTGTGGACTTATTTACCGTTACAGATTTCTCACAAAAGTTCGTGCAAACTTTCTCTTGGTCAAAATAACAAAGATATGGGCTCCTTACCAGAGACAATAGTAAGGACACATCCTTCAGAGCCTTTCAAAAGAGCTCGATGTTTACTTGAACTCTGCAGGCCCTGAAGTTAATGGACTCAAATGTTACTTTATGATTACTTCTGCTACAACTTACTGACTTGTGTTACCCTTCAGTTTGAAACTGAGCATAGCGTAGACGGTACGTCTCTATAACCAGAAATGCTCTCTTACTATTCAGACTCAGAACCCAAGTAACAAATAGTACACTAACTCAACTAAACATAGTTTGTCATTTGAAGCTGTAACAGAGTTGTGGGGAGGGGGTTTCAAGAAGTCAGGGTGCAGTTCACGCTACCAACTTCTACTTTTGATTATCAGATTGTCTAATTATCATTTTTAGTTATTTTTGATTGCTTCTATTACTAGACGTAAGTGCATTATATGTACCTACTGAGTCTTTTTGGTCTACTCTTCACGTCCTCTCATCCAGATTCTCATACTGCTCCTCACACTCCTCAATTTCAATACGTACCCTCAGACTAGTCAAAACCTATCAAGGACTGAACATAACAGTTGTTTGCAATGATGTATTGGCGGCGTACTTACAAGGGAAAGCTGAGTCGTAGTACCATTTTATGTAATGAACAAAATTCGGCCACTTTCAATGGGCCAGCAGCTATGGTTAGGAATTAGCATTAAGGAACACTTTGTAGGGATGCGGGTTTCGTTTCAAATCTCAAAAGCATTTGTCACCCTGGAAAAATCAGGTCTAAGGTTATATTCATTTCATTCACTAATAAATTCAGTCCTGAGAACTTGTTCCCTAGACATTATCTAGCTTTAATTTTGCAGGATAATTTTAAGTCACTTACTTTTGTTTCCTTATTGTGGTCCTATCATTTTGACCTGATAAATCACATAGTTATGAAGAAAACGTCACATTTTTGTACGTATATGCTTCTCTTGAATAGGTCTTAAGACGAAACTAGTACCATTAATCTGTGATCCTCTGATTCATAGTCATGTCATTTCAAATGTCTAATTCCGGCTCCTATCACAGAATGCGCCTTTTTCTGAATGTAAAACTTGCGTATGGGTAATATTAATTGACGTTTGCATAATGTTACTCATCACAAATTTATAGAAAAAGAGCACGTTTGAAGACCAGGAAATCTCCACACTTCTCCAAGTGTATGAGTTGGTCATTGCATAATGCCACATATTCGTTGTAAATTTGAACAGGATACCTAAACAGCTATATTAAACAGACTTACACCTATCATCTTTGGTGGAGGAGCATAGGGCATCCACCAGGATTCTCTATTGAACTCTATCCTGGGCAGTCCTTTTGATTTCCTAGTTTCTGTTCATTCTTTTGGTGTCTGCATCTTTTCCCTTTACCTTGAAGATTCCAAGTTACAGCTTGACTTGTGATGCAGTTTGGTGATGTCCTTAGTGTGATCTATCCGTCTTCAGCATCTTTTTCTAATTCTTTTCTCAGCTATAAACTGGTTTCTTCTATACCAGAATACTGATGGTGTCTGGCCAACAGATCTGGTGTATCTTGCATAGACAACCATTGGTAAATACCTGTACCATCTTGATGATGGTTGTGTAGTTGCTATACAAGTTTCAGCCCCGTACAGCAAAACTGTCTTGAAATTTGTATTGAAGATTCTGACTTTGATGTTGGCTGATAGTTGTTTTTAGTTCCAGATGTTCTTTACCTGTAGGAATGGTGCACATTTCCTTAATCGGACTTGAGAGCTGCAGTAATCCTGGGATATTATTAATTTATTCAAACACAAACATTGGTACAAGGAGGCACCAAATACATATGCGCCATATAATTCATTCGATTTGTGTGAGGGCTGGGATACTGCCCGTGTTCCCAAACAGAAGCAGGCGGTTTTCTTACGCGGCCACACCCGGAGCATTTAAGCTAAAGGTCAGATCCACAAGGCAGTGAAGCGACGTCAGCAGATGCAGTCCCATGGTAGCCGGTAACCAACTATTGTTTCATACGCCATTTGTTGCCTTAACACCGTGGGGTCTATGTGCACCATTGGTTTAGAAATAGAGTTTTCCGACTCCCCTAGGTGGATTCTCCGTGTCCACCGGCCCGGTTAGAGCGCCGGACATCCGCTTTTCGTCCTCTCAATTTCGTAAACAGCACCCTCACCGTGAGATGGCAGTAAGTAGGACTTCTCTGGCAGTGATTGTATGCACGTGGCCATGTGATAGCATTTCGAGGAGATCTGACTCTCCCCACTCTCGGCCGTACCAGGACATTTGGGGGTCTAGGATAACTGCAGGTGGATTTATAATAAATAGACAGCTAAGTTACATTATGAAAAAATGTCCCGATGTAACCTTTTGACCTCACGTATCACAGTTGTCCAAAGTCTGTTCGTTCCGACTATGATGTTTACCACAAAGTCTTTATTGAATATACCCCGTTACATGACTGATAATAAATTAAATGCTTAAATCTTTTCGTTTGTGAACGTAATAAAAATCTTGTCATTGACGAGAAATTTCAAAAGTTCCTAGGTAGAGTTACTGCATACTACAAGTTGTTTTTTGATTTCATTGTTTTTAAGTAATATATGTATTCGTTATTATATTGAAAAAATTTTGCTTTTTGTATTCACAACTACTTGTTTCGGTACACTTTAGCTGATATTAAGTCCACTGACAAATAACACAAAACTTATACTATCACAGAAATGAATAGGATAATTCTGAGTCAGCATAAAATTACTTTACATTCATCACGTCATACCCTAACTAAAATATCAAGAAGTTATCAGTTTGGTAGGAACTCAAGAAACAGTGGTTTCAGCCAGCCACCAGGTTATATTCCGCCACATATCTGGATGAAATCGAGACCAGAAAGGGAAGATTTGAAAACATCCGTATTCGGTGTTGATGAAAAAAAGCCTACTGTGGATGAAAAAAGTTACTTATCACATGCCGCTCATGCCTCCCTATCCGGTTTTCCTGTTACAGAGAACTTTTCTTATGAAATTGTTAATAATGTAAGTTAATCATAAGTTTCGTATAATTTACCGAACAAGTCCACTGCTTTGTGTTACAACCATCTCTCTGTACTTCGACAGTTTCACAGTTTAAACACCTATTTCTACATCCAGAAATGTTACTACCATATTTTACACTTCAGTAACAGATTAGCTTTTTTATCTGCAAACAAATCGACAAGTGATTGCTACGTTGCAAAGGGCTGTTTGAATTTTTTCAGATAATAAAAAGCAACCTCTCCTAGACTAACAAATACATCAACCGAGGCTTGCACAGAAGACCATTGGTTTACACTCCTACGTTTCAGAACGCTGAAAAAACAAGTAATAAACCGAGAAAAAGAAACTAAGTATGAGTAATAAAGTCTTTAGAATTGAGGGGAAATAAAGAACTTATTCCGAGGTAAATTTCTCAAATTCATTTGTGACGTTTGCATTTGCTTAGAGCTGTATTACTTAAGGTATCCATCTATTCTCCGGCACTAGACATTGGGAACCAGAAACTTATGACTGTATACACCAAACCCTCGGTACGAACTGACCTTTTGTTTTTATTTCTGACCGTTAGCGTATCGCTTTGGGAGAGTAATTTGGCACATGTCCCATCCAACACTTCGGTTGATGCTAGTTCAAAACGTCTTTCACTGGCTTGTCATCTTCGATAAGAAATATATAGCTAGGTTTAATATTGCTTACCTGATCGCTTCATCATTTCCTAATGCCGTATCGACATTCATAGTGACATGTCTAATTAATTACTTTTTTAACCGTCTGTCAATTATTGTCTTTAGGTATGACATGCACTATCCTCCTAAATACAGAGTAATTCTCCAAGACTGGTGGGAGCCTTTATCTGGATTCGTTGTGGTGAGCTGTTAGAAATAAACGAAAAGCTCCTTTATTTGAGTTGGTGCTGGTGGGATGACAGATAAAACCAGTCTACGAATATTAAAAACTAGAGCAGCCTATGGCAGTCTGGGCCATCTTTGGCGCCGTCGTAATGTTAGTCTGGTTACAAAACCTTGGGTTTACAACACCTCGATGAGAGCAGTTTTGTTCTGTGTCTGTGAAACCTGTTCTCCAGACTTTGATGTTAGGCAACTCTCTGTGTTCGATTATCTTTATCTCTTAAGGATTACTGACTTTCAGTGGTAACATCAAGTTAGTAATACTGAGCTTCAGCAATGTGTGTTCAGGGTTAGTAAAGATAGTTTGGTTAGTGTCATCAACTCGGGACACCAACTTCAGTGGCTTAAACGTATTCTGTGAATGTCACTCTAGACTTCTACATCAAACTGCTTTCCGATACTAGAATAGGGTAAAAAATTCAGGAGGAACTTTACTTTATGACATTTCCCCAGTGTGTGAAAGAAAGCTGTTGATCTACATATCTCTTTACAACACAGCACCTATTAAAGTGCTTCTGTAGTTTCCTCCTACTTAAAACTAAGAGAAACTCCCCCAAGAGGTTTCTTGGTTGTATTGTTAACCAAAGTGTATTCCCTATTATTCTTGTTTGTTCTTTTTGACTGAACTCCCTTTCCATCTTTTGTTTCTGTAATTAGAAATTGCAGTTCAATCGATATCACTTGATAATATTCATCAATAGGAACCGTAAAATATTTCTCTATTCCAAGTGCACTATTCTGTCTACGCCTAGCGTCCTAAGCATTGACTAACGATTCTCTTCTGCCAAAATCAATATTGAGTTGAGGCTCAGATAGTTTTAAATCCTGATTGTCAGGATCAATACCAGCGAGGTTGAGTTAATAATAGTATCAGTAATAGTAAAAGCACTCAACATAGGAGATATAGTTCACAAAACACGCGATAAAAAGCATGAAATAAATTTAGAAATTGAATCAAAATGAAGTGAATAATGCGTCAGTGTAAATCATTCTGAGTCATCACGCAACAATCAGCCACTGTCATCGTATGAACAGCATCCATTTATCCTGCAGCTACCGATTACTATTCAGACCAATAGTCACTAATTTTACAAACTGATATTTCTTCCTTTGATTACCCTGGCCTCATTCCAACCTACGCTAGGCAGCATTCGGTATTGAGAGAGGTGGTGAATAACGCGTAAAATATGTTCTACCTCCCCAGAATGATAGATATTTAGTCTCACCAACCATTTTCCTTTATATACGCCAAGCCTCAGCGTTGTTCACTTTGTTGCTCCATCACATATAAGCGACGGTTTGAAGTTGTTTGTCACTTTCAGGTCGTGGAATATGATTACAGTTTAGTGAAGGCACATATACCTGTGTCCGGGAATCTGCCAGAAGGTCAATATAGTTGATACATCCATTTGTAGATCTGAGACCTTGGTTTTCCTTAATTATCATGTATAGTCCTACTAGTTGTATGTCATTAAAGCACGTGGTAATGCTTTTATGAGAAATGATAATATCGTAGTGCTGTTACTACTATTCGTATGCACCCAGTATGTATCACCTCTTAAAATCAGGTAAGTAGCATGAAAAATCACTTGGTATATTACATTTACTGACCTTTAAAATGGTATCTTAAAGTTCGACGTTTTTGTATTTCGTTAAATAAATTAAGAGACTTCTTTCTTGTCCTAACGTAGTTCTAATTTCATCCTATTGTTTTCAGATCAATGAAATTCCGAAAGTCGATCAAAAACTATTAAATAATCTTCAAGCTATGGGTTTGTTTGAGCTGACACCCGTTCAAAAACATGCCATCGGGATTATGTCAGTTGATGAATATGAGGAGGTTGATGTTAAAATAGATGAGTTCAATCAAAGTACAGATGATAATCCTCCTTATGAACGTGTCACTGGTAAATTTGATTTAATGGCAGCTGCACAAACTGGTTCGGGTAAAACACTAGCTTATCTTATTCCAATTTTCAATCGTTTGTTGAGAGTTTATCCATTTGAAGCGATGCAATCTTTGGTAAGCAGAATGTTAATTCCTACATTATCATATTCTACTGAACGTAATTAAAAGTTTATTGTAAACAATTAGTAATTTACTAAGCTGTTTCATGTATACAACTATCGTGAAATCACAGTGTTGTGAATCAAAAATGAACTTTTCTGAAACCAGTTTAAAACTATTTCTGACAGCTATTTTCAGAGTACACTACTGAGTTTTGTGAAATATGTTCAAGTGTACAATCGTCTACAAGTGATCCATTTTCGTGTTTTCATCTAACATCTACGATACAAAGTACTGAAGAATAAAGTAGAGTATATTTCAGGGCACAAGCTCATAAAATATCGTATTTCTAGTTAATTTTATTACAGTCACAGTAATCACTTAAGAAACATTGTTTATAAATGATTGTTAAAATGATAATGTCGCAAGATCGGAGAGCCATTTTTTATGCATTATATGGGAACTGTCATTTTACCTATCGTTCAGATAAAAGCTGGTATTTGAGGGGAGTGGAATAGTACCCCAAATTTGTCTTCAATCAACATCTTTCAATTTTGTGTTTAACTAGATAGGAATACTTAGACAAATTTAGTCTTATTGTATTCGGACATAGCTGGACGGTTTGCCGAATTATTTTCCGACCGGATATATATTTATCGACATTGCTGCATTAGATACGCTTTACTAGTGGAGAAAAATCTTCAAATAACAAGTAAACTAAAGTAGTCATTCAAGTTTACCATCAATAATATATTTATACTTCTGTGACACTTATCGAACACGTAGCTTGTGTAACGTCACTTGTGATGTAGGCGAGATATTTATCTGTCGAGTTAAACACGAGTATGCCATGTAGCAGTTTGCTCTGTTTTACTTTTCGGTTGTTAAACGCGGTCAAGGAAAGTAGAAAACATTTGTAGGCTGAAGTTTTCTGATCATAAGCGTCTTCGAAGCATTGTTCGCGCATTGTGGTTAGACCGATTGAGCAATGTAGTGGTTAGACATAGGGTACTTGCCAGATGTAGCAAATCAGTTGATGAGTTATTAGGTCTTCGTCAACTGATGTGGTTAGGACATGTGTTAGTATGCCTAACCATCACCTACTTTGAGTGATACTTGTTAGTACAGAAGTAGGCTGTAAGAAAGTTAGGGGCGGCCAAATGAAAACGTGGCATCGGTTAGTCCATGACTTCATTGACTATTGGCCTGAGTTATGCTGATAAATCCAGACTGTCTGATTGGGGTCCACATGATAATTGCAATCATTGTTTGAAGAGTTTGAGTGACGTAACTCGGAATCGTTCACAGTGATGTAGATGTATTCACTCTTCATCTTTATCTCGGCTTTAAATTCCAGTATCTCTTCATGCATATGTAGTGTCTAGTACCATTTCAAGCCCACACAGATTATTCTAGCTTCCAGACAAGCCGGTTTATTCATTCTTCTTGCGTCACATTTTGACCTTGTTAATTATTGGCTTATTAACTCAGTGTTAATATATGATCGTCTGTGCGTGTATTGCTTACCCTACTCATCACGTGTCTGTACGTTAGTTTTGTCTGACTATAAATATTGAGTCACGCTTGGTTAAATCGAGTTGGCTCACATGCCATCTCCGATTCGTTTCTCTTGTTGTCAGTCTAGATCAACTATTGTGTGAAGTATACGTATTCGAAATCCATTCTCGTATTTGACTCATTTAATTCTGTTATTCACTGACGCGATTTAAGTCGATAATTACATACGAGGATTGGTGGCCCATAGATTTCGATAGGAATCGGCAAACGATCTAACTGGAGTCAGATATAAGGCCACTAAACATGCCTTTCCACTCAGCCTTTACAAAGGATATTCCCAAGGTTTTGTATTTCTGTTTGTTATTGATACTGCACCATTTCTATCTTTTTGATTTTCATCTCGTGTAACCGTAGTATCTCAACTTGGGTCACTGTAGACTTGTCCCAGGCTCTATGTTGATATCTGTTTGTCAAGTTCCCGTGTTGTTAGCAGGATATAGATTTGATTAAAGTATATTTCGTGCAGAGTTATTATGGGGCTATTTCTTGCCAATTAGCACCAGCGGAAACTTAGAGAAGACTAGAATCTTATGTAAAAATTATTAATATACTGTTTTTCTTATTGTAAATCCATCCAACTATTTTATCTGGAATATAATTACATTCCTGTTCAACCTTGTTCTGGTTTGGGGACTTGCCAAGCAATGTAGTGTCCAAGAATACTAAGCAATAAGAGTAGCTGGGTCGTAATAAAAAAAAACTATAACACGTACTGAGACATGAATTCTCGTCTTTTTATAACCTTTGTTTCAAGTACGTCTTGAAGTGTTAAAGAATGCATACTTTAAATAAAAAACAGTATGACAAGAAATGTTCTCAGTTTCCTCTGATTAAAAACGTCTGTTAACAATGTAGTATGCGACTAAATCATCGCTTTAGCATTAAAATATTCTATTTATCAAGAAATGATGAAAACTAGACATCATAAGTTTTTAGAACAGCATTATTTTTCCTTATTAACATTAACATCACAAGTTGCTTCGTGATGTTAATCAGTGATCAATACAAATGAAAGAAGGGAAAAGGTAAGAACAATCAGCCTTGTCTAGCTCTGACTTCCACCCAGTATGCATCTGTGAGCTGCCCTCCATGCATGACTTTTTTGTGTAGTGCGTCACAAGAATACTGTATGGTATTGACAATCTCAGGTATATCATGCTGTTGGAGAAGGTTGCATAAGGTTCTCCTATCCACGTTGTCAAATGCGTTCTCATGGTCAAGGAAGTTGATGTCTAGTGATGAGCCCCATAGCTCCGTCGCTCTTCAATTTGAATGATTGAATTATCTTTATTCTTGATTGGTCGCTCTGGTTTGCTATGCTTCTTAGTTTCTTGGTTATATCGTATAGTTATCTGATATTTTTTTTCGTTTACAGCTTTTTCTGCTGACGTTGCTAGGTCTTCCATATATTTCCGTTTATCAGCTTTAATGCTCTTTTTCTACAAAGTTTTTTATCACTGCAATAAAGGTTTTACTTCGTCTCTAATTATCATGCTTGCATACAAATGTCCACTATTTTTACTAGTTTCTGTAAGAATCCATTGTCGAGTCTCATATTTCGTGCATATTACTTACCAAGCTCATTCGTTTACTAGAGTTTAAGCCACACTTCTTGTTGTGTAAAATCTAGTCATAATGAGATTGTGCGGGGTTTCGCACATAGATTTAACTGGCTCAAAGTTAATTAATTTTTCTGTCCCACAAGAATTCTCTTTAAAGTTCGTTTTTCAGAAAAAAAGATAATTAAAACCCCAGTCACTTGTTCAGCTGACTATAAGCACATATTTTAGATATTTGGGAAGCGTTGCACTCTATTGTACATGAAATTCTAGTTTCCTTTCACTACAGCAGTAAAAAGATTTCTGAACGCATTTATATTTTCTATTCACTTATGTAGCTCATCTCTCGTACACGACGCCAGTATCCCTCATCTGTAATTTTGGTACCAACTCGTGAGTTAGTCCAACAAATACAGTTAGAACTACGTAAAGTAATTATTTTTCGGTTATTTATAAGAATAATTTTCAATTATATAGTTATGTAACCAAACCTTCGTTCGATCAGTAGGTGTATTTGGTGGTGAACGACCAGAACGACAGATGTTTGAATTGAATAAGGGATGCCATTTTGTAGTTGCAACTCCTGGAAGACTTTTAGATTTCTTGAACCGTGACTGTATATCCTTAAAATTCTGCAGGTAATTCCATCGTGTTACTGCTACTTTAATTATATTATTTCTTCTATTAATAGTTTATAATGTTAAAGATGCATCGCAGGTTTTCATCATAAACTCTTTGCTACTCAGAACCTGTTTGTGGCTAGTTAGATTTTATTTACGTATTTACTTATTGTAAAGACAACAAAATATCACTGCTTTTAAATGCGGATACTTGTGAAACCATACAAACAAATGTTGTTGAATTGTTAACTTTTATATTTCGTATATCAAATTTTATGCTGTTCTTTTAGATGACTAATTATTGTGTTTCACAGTTCATTGAATGTAGTTTACCATAGATAATCAATTAGTCGCGTTTAATAAATAAAATTTACACAACTTACCACGTCGAATACTCGATGTTAATCATCCCTGACTTAGTTGATTAAGTCTTTAAAAAAGGTTTAAACAAGAAATACATCGCCAAATATCTCATATACGGCATAATAAATGTCCGATTTCATAGCAGTTTTCACTAGGTTTCATAAAACAATTATGGTCATGTACAGCATTTTTTGACTTCCCTTTACCTCATTCAGTAATGAAACGTTTATTCACGTTTCATATAATACAGTGTTGTTTGCAGTGGTAGTTTAGTAATTAAAGTACTCTGCTTTCAGTTATTTGATCAAACGTTTAAATTGGATAGTATCACTAGTTTTCAACTCGAACATTATGGTTCAAAGTGATGTACATAAAATTGTACTTGGATGATGAACTGTATTTCTATTTATTGTTATCCTTTATATATCATTTACCGAAAAAAACCAAACATTTTACAAGTTGCTATTTAATATCCTAATGACCTGTTTTGGCCATCCTTCATACTTCAGTTTGGTGCTTCGTAAATCAAATACTATCCATTCCCCTAATATTCATCATATACGTTGCAAATTCCTGCTTTTAGTGTTATTTTCTTTAAATGAATGGGGATAGTCTTATGTAAACAAAACCTAACAGCTAGAATCGTGTTAAAGTTCTTGTATTCTCGGAAATTAGACTTGACTAGATGATCATTGAAGCTGGAACTAATGATTGTAAATCACTGGAATCGGACACAATGGTTATGTTATAGCCCAAAGCCGTCAATCAGCAGCAGCGAATTATCGATCGGATCAAGGACGCGTAAAACACGTGCAGGCAGCCTAGAGTCCTGATTGGCCCTGCTTTCCGCCTAGCCCAGCCAGTTAAGTCCAGAACACATGTTTCAGCCTCTGCAATATGAATAATTATATTTCAAACATACTGAGTTTATATACCAATCAAGCAGACCACAACGTAGCATAAAATAGAAAATAACATTTGTGCAAAATATGGCCAAATGTGGCTGTGGATGTGGGAGGCAGTGACTAATAGAAAGGGTATAATTCAAGAATGGTAAAACGTATAATAATGGTTCATAGGTCAAAATAAATTTTATAATAAGAGGAATATGAATAGTTTAGTTATTTAACAATTATACGATAAAAAATATACGTTTAGTATTGGTCCATAAAAGGATCCCAAGGTTACCATTCATTATGTTTATCGGGACCTAACAGGTTATTAGCATAATAATTATTGGTACTTACGACATGTAGTTTCGTTATTTCTTTCAATAATTTGAAAAGTTAATGAGATAACGTGATAATATTATTCTCCATGTTACATTAATTTCTCAGTTTATCTAGATTTCTTTTCTTAGAGGTTGATTTGTAAGCTACCTAAGTGGAAAAGGTATGATAAATATATGACTTATTTAGAAGCTCTGTCTACTGAGTTATATATTTTGACGTAAATGGCCTCATGTTTTGTTTCTGTCCCATTGTCGTCAACGCTCATTCACTCATGTTTTCTTCACTTTATAATAACTGTTTAACTAAAGATTATTTATAGTCTAATAATTTATTTGCAAACAAGCGGTTTTGTTTTCCGTTGGTTTGAAATCGTTCAATCCACCAGTCCTCTCATTGCTCTTTTTCATATTTTTTGTAGATATTGTTATATTTAGAATGAAAGATATTTATGAAACGATCTCGTCGTTCTTTTTCTCGTTTATGTACTATTAAGCTAAACCGTCATCTGTGTTTGTTGCCATACTTTTGTTGCAAATTTCTTAACTTTGTTATCGAGATTGCGTTTGCAATTACTTGCCTTTTTTCAGATCTTTAATACTTGACGAGGCAGACCGAATGCTAGATATGGGTTTTGAAGAGCAAATACGTCAAATTTTAGAGTCACCAAAATTTCAAATGCCTCCACCAACAGGGAATGGTCGTCAAACTGCATTATTCAGTGCGACATATCCACGTGAGGTTGCTCTTTTAGCCAAAGATTTTCTACGCGGTCCAAACTGTATTTCTCTTACACTCAGCAGTGCTGAATCTAATACTGGCACTATAGTCCCTACGTGGGGAAAAGCAGTTCGTAATAAAAATGAAGATGAATTTGAACGACTTACACGAATAATTCCCAAAGAAATTAATCAGCAGTTCCAAGTGGTTGTCGGTAATCCTGAATCCGCTGTTCCGAATCATCTTTTACAGTTAATTCTAGAAATGAAATCTAAAAGTAAATCACTAATGTTTTTTAACACTTTTGTTTAGTACGTTTAACATCTATAGGAGTGGATTTTTTAAGAACAGACCTAAGTAGTATTTTCCCAAGCCTTTTTGAAATTCATAATAAAGGTACTCAGAAATTCGAAACATGTTGGCACGTTCTTTTTAGAACTTAAACGTTCTAGACTTAAAAATGTGTATGCTTATCTTGAGTGATATAAATCTAAATGTCTCTTTGATATAGGGAATAAAGTAAACTTTCACACATATAATACACGACTGAATCACATATTAGCCTGACCCACCTATCATAATAGCCCAGGTAAAATTCTTCTCTCGTTTACGCTTATTTGGTTGTAATTGGATAGTGCAAACGTTTTTTGATTTTTATTGAAACGTATGTTGAATCAATCGTTCCAATAATTTACTATATAAAGTCACCGTAGCATTTATACAAAATTCGAGACTACACATCCTATGAATCATGTATCGTATAGGGTGAATAGTTTCAATTCAATAGTATTAAATAAGTGCTTATACTTCGTTTAGTCATTTCAAAACACATATTTGAAAAAGCGGGCAAGTTATTAACAAGACATGCAAATATACTGATAATTCTGTACCGTACTAAACATTAGTATTCAATAAAACGACTATTATAGGTATTAATGAAAGGAACTGCCTAGTCATATGCATTATTCTTTTTGATAATTGTTTGCACTTCATGATTATGTCTTTTTTCAAACACATTTATTCGTTTTTCCAATCTTTCCACTATTACAGTAAATAAATATTTTAAGTATTTCAATTGAATTACTTTTTGAAATAAATTTACTCATTTTAAAATCATACAAGCCAGTCACGGCCTATGATGTTTAGCAACAGAAAAAATCATTCGTAATTTCTTAATTTAGATATCACTAATTTATTAAACCGTTAATTTTCACATTATCGTATCACTTTTATCTTGTTTCTAGGTTTGGAAAGTGTTTGTCGAGTTCTTGTATTCTGTAATACCAAAAGGGAAGTTGATCAAATTGATAATTATCTTTATTCTAACGGCATAAAATCGACCTCTATTCATGGTGATAAAACTCAGTCTTCTCGTGCGAAATCCTTAGATCTATTCCGTAAAGGAACAGCGAATGTTCTTGTCGCTTCATCGGTAAGACGTCTTTTTGCCGCCTGTATTTAAAAATAAAGATAATTCCCCTGAAGTGCATGCAATTAATGATTGTTGTTACTGTTGAATGTTAGCTTGATTTGCAGAGTGGGATTTTAATTTTTCGTCGTACTTTTTAGCTATAAAGCCTCTATTTATAGGCATCACTTCACTGTTTCTGTTTTGTTTCCGTAGTATTATAATTTATTTCGACATTATCACCAGATTTTCTATGTAATACATAATCATCAAGCTCAATTGAGTTAAAGTACTTTTCGCCAAACAGAAACAACACGCCCATAATTTATGTCAGCGTCCAGTCTGACCAATAAACCATAGTGTACTATGGTTACATTCTTAATGTATTTGGGTCTAAACAAACTTTTTTTCCCGACAGACTTTCAGAATTTTACTAAATAGATAAATCTTGTTAACTCCTAACTATATATTATCAATCAGCAAACTAAGTTATACGGATGGGGATTTTGATGTTTTTCGATTATTATTATTATTGAGATTAAAATTATCATTGTAATTTCTGTTACCTTAGTCTGTTTATGTAAGTTATATATCACAAAGATTTTCAAACAACACATGCGTATTACTACCATAGTTTGTTTTTAGTTCACTCCTTATTGGCTTTACAGTTCTAACACTTAGGAACATTTTGTGTGAACTATGGGTTTTTAAGCGTACATCACATCCTTATTTCATAATCAAAAAGCATTTTAGGAAAAAGAGCCCTTGATTATTACCTTTTCAGAAATATAATTTAATTTTAAAACAGCTTGTCAGTTGAGCATACAGTTACTTGTTTCAACCTCCGTTTCAATATGCGTGTTTTTAACACCATGTTAATATCACTAGCTCTGCTACAGTAAAAGTAACGGTTCATTACATACTAGCTAATCTAAGTTGCAATGTTGATATGAGTCGTCTATTTTACTTGTAATTGGGCTACTAAAAATATCATTTATCTGTCATTTATTAGGTTGCTGCTCGAGGTATTGATATACCCAATGTTTTTGCAGTTATTAATATTGGTCTCCCAAATGAATTAGATGATTATGTTCATCGAATAGGACGAACTGGTCGTATGGGTAAATCTGGTGAGGCTATAACACTTATTCATGAAACCTTGTTACAACAACAACAATCAAGCAGAACAGTATCACGTGGGATTTGCCAACTTTCGAATCTGTTGGTAATTTAGATAAAGTCCCAAAATTATTGTTGGAATATGCCAATATGGAAACTCAAGAAGGGGGAGAACAAAAATACAATATTCGTTCAAAAAATAAAGACATTTATTCGAAATTTAAGCCTCGTCCATTCACAAAAGGTTATAAAAGTTATCCACGTGATGATAGTTCGATGCGATATTTGTAAATAAACATTATAATTCAGTCTAGCGATATGTAATATAAACATAATTCACATGTATAATTATATTTGTCTTCATTTTTTATGCCGGGAAAAAAGTATTGCTTAATATATCATCACAAGTATGAAATCCGAGGACAATCTTCACGTAATGCCAGGACATCGGAACTCCAGATGTGTTGGTTAAATCGTTTGTAATATTTCTGGTTCGCTTTATACTTTTGGAATTCTGACCGATTCTATTTGTTGTATACGAGTTCTTAACAAGTCATTACAAATGGAATATATCGTAACTGCTTACATCGTACAGTTTATCAACTTTGAAAACTTGACTTTGTTTCAACAATACCCGTAGAGAAAAACCTTCCGCAAATTGCAACGTATTTGTTTAGAATATTAATAAACACAGAACATCAATTGAAATAGAATAATATGGATTCGTTATTTCTCTGCTGCCTACAATCATGTATGTGCAACATAGATGTATGATACAATATGACATTGATGACAAAAAGGATCACAGTGACAAAGACTATCAATAATAATTATAGGTGTGCAGTCATTTGGAGATGGAATTCGGAAATAGCGAGGGGGCGCGGTAGTAATTAATAAAGGTCCGGGAACAGATGAGGTGGATCATATGCTAACTATAATTATAGGACGTAATACATACGTGTTTGGTTTACAACAGCTTATGTCTCACTAGTGTCGTTGGTTTCAGTTTCTCATAATCCTCCTTCTAACCTATATGTTGGAGCTCCCATTGTGTTCAATCGTATTATAGGCTTCATGACCTGAATCTAGTCTTTCCATTGTCAGAAATCCTCATTTAAATAGTTATTCACTTATATTCAGCTAATATACAAAACTGGAAAAACACCTCATAATCTCGTAGATGCCGTTTGCAGTCAAAACAAGCACCCTTAATTAGTTTTCTTTCGATAAACATCTGTGCTTTCCGGCTAAATAGCACAATAACAACGTAGGAAAGACTTAGATGCCGTCTGTACTATGTTTTGTTCAAAAGACCGGGCACTCAAACCCGGTAATAGTGGTGCCTGATGTAGGAGCTCTAGTAAGCAGGTCTAACCCAACTAGAAGACCGGTCGTTCAAACTACCAAACAAGACGGTTACCGTGTGCTGGAATTATCTCTGAGTAATCGTTTATTGCTAGGGTCCGAAAACTTTAAGCATGGTGGACGGGTGTCTTTCAAAACGACCTCAACTGAATGATAAACATAGATAGACCTTCCTTACAGCACGTATCATTTGAATGTTTCGGTAGAGGAGGGTTCGCACTCCAAAGTTCAATAATAGTTTAGTGCGAACAAGAATTCGATGCAAAAACATTGTAACAGAAAAACCTCCTAGGGCCTAATTTGAAGATCCAAACATGAAGAAAGTACAAGGGGATGGACTAGCTAGACACTGAGAGTGTATTCATTTTAAAGTGGCTTGGTATATATGCAACATCAGAAACACCATTTATCAGTAGTAATGAGTATGCAACAAACTGAAAGCTAAAACAATCCACACTGTTATAGCTATACATATTTTTCTTGTGTTTGCTTTTTATTAGTACTACACAAAAAAGTCATTCACAAATCACAGACATTACAAGTATATTATATGATACATGCGCAGCATTCGTGTTTACCATTATTGTGACCAATTCATAAAGAAAAAATTAAAAATAGTTACAATAAGAATTAAAAATTTAGATCAAGAGTTAATCACTGAGGATAGTTATACATGAATTTTACACAGTTGAAAGAACGATAGAGTAGACAAGTGACACAATATCCACACACCATTGTACGTTATCACTACCATGTCGACATAATGTGTTTATACATGAAATAACCGATTAAGTATGGATAACTTATCAAATAGGTTCTAAAAATCTCATGACAAGTTGTACAAGAAAAGCAAATATACTAAACACGATCAGGACAAATAATTTGGAGATATGCCATCCATTTCTATTTTCACCATTTATGCCGGAGTTATTTGTACTTGCGTCGGATTGTGAGTGACGTCGATTTGATGAATTTAAAAGTTTACTACGAAGTTCTTCAGCTGTCAGATTTTCGCGAATCTCCTAAAACAGGAAAACGTAAGATAGTGGTAATTTTGAATTGTGGGAATAATCAAACTAAAATAGTGAAACTTCATATTTCAGAACAAATCACTGATTATTTAGTGGATTTTTACTTTCCTATAGATATATATGTATGGACGCGTAACTACAATTTTTATTTGCTATTGATTGACCACTAAGCAGTGACCAATGTTATGTACATCAAGTACTTGTTAGTGCTAACGGGATTGTATTCAACCAGACAGTATGAGTCTGAAACATAAGTTATTGATTATTCAATGTATTTTTCATATTTGCTACTAAACCTCTTATCTTCCACATCTGCCACTGAGTTGATGCGAATCCATAAAATCTTATCTTAGACCTTCTGAAACTATCCTCTAAACTACACTGTGAAGCTTTCAGTGTGTGTACTCTAAATTAAACTGAGTAACATGCCTCACTTATTAAGACTATATACTCTGGCGCCATCCGAAACAGGATAAGTGTGGTCAATCACTCGACCTTGTCTAGCTAATATCGAGATCAAAGCGTTAGGAACAAGGTACTGGGTAAAAATGGAATGTTCATTGATAAAGCCATAGAACTTTACCGGTTGAAGTGGTTAAGATATGTGTTACGCAAGTCTAACGACTGTCTACTTCATAATATCTGATATTGGCTGAGATAGAAGCAGGTCAGTAAACAGTTAGTGGTCCGTAGGTCAAGACATGGTTTTAGTTTATGAAATCAGTAACAATTGAAATAAGCCGTATCAGTAGGCGATAACTCCAACTAGTTTTTGAAGATGTTAATGGACATGGTTCAGAATTCGTGGCACTAGTATTCATCTAATTACTTTGTATTCTCTCCTGAGTCTTGACGTTTTACACCACTCGATAAGTTCTTTTTCTTTTTGAACTGTTTACTCCAATTATAGATATAAAGACCATATCTAGATTATCTCCGAGACCACAATTTAATTAATGCCAATGTTTCCCCCGGCAAACTGGTTCGAATTTTTCCAGGGAAAAAAGTCGAAATTATCCGAAGTAAATAGGGATTCAATACAAACCCATATAAACACTTTTCTAACTAGGTTCAAATGCCGATCTTATGTAAAAGAATGAGTCATTTGACGTAAAATCTCTTCATAATGACATGTACGCTATTGTCATTAAAGTTCACTAAACAAATGAAGCCTCTGTCTAGAGCAAAGGTCAGATTAATCGTTTTGTTTATTATTAGGTTAAAAGTACATATGAGTACTTTAAGCTCGTCAATGTACGTGTTGATCACTAGAGAATAGTCAAATAGAGAATGGCGATGGCAAATCAAGAAATCATAGATAAATCCAAAGACAGTGAGAAAATAAATAAACTACCGTTCTAGGAGTCATATTACGGTATAGATAGAATCATGTTTAAATTTATTAATCAACAAATGCCGTGATGTAACTAACTACATTTTACTTCTATTCGGATTGCTGTGGTCCGTTTGCACAAAAAGGGGGGAAAAACATTTCTGAAGTTTCTTAATACTACCACTGTCATATTTTTAACAACTATATTGCGATTTCTAAGGTCATATGATGTTTGAGGAACATGTCATAAACATTATTCATGTTCTTTGTTTCCACACTCAGCTGTTTAAATACTTCACACATATAAATAGCACTAAATTCAATTTAGTGAACACAGTTTATGTGTTACTGTCGGTCCAAAGTTCGAGTAAAGAAGAGATGTGCATGGAGTCAGCAACCTCATGACGTAGAAAACAACCTTGCTAAAAATCCTAACCAGAATAAACAAGTTTAACCATTTAAAGTCTACCCTCCAATTTGAAGGATCTCTCAGAAGAATTATGACACCTCATAGTGAGTGCCAAGATTCTTCGAAAGTCACGAAACCCATGCCCCTTCTAACAACCACAGCAATAATTAATATAGGTACATAGGATGCCCAGACAATGTGAGAGACTGGGAGGACTGAAGTGAACAGAACACGAGTGGGGACAATAGAATGTATTTAACACAAAATTACAGGACTTGTTAATAAAATCTAACAATCATAAAGTAAATGCTTAATATACAAAATGTCCATCGATTGTCTCAAAATGACTCAGACTTCATTGTTCTTGCATTTTCATACAAATTGCATTCTGTTTCCATCCTTTACTGTTCGATCCTCTTGTCTCTCTTCTTCCAGACCTTATGTTTACAACTAATATCATATACTACTAATGTCAATATAAGTAGCACACCACAGGACTAACCAAATAGCTACAGAAATGAGGAGATACAACTTGGAGGTGCTCGAATTAAGTGAAACACATTGGACCCAAGCTGAACAGAGAGGACTAGATTCGGGAGAGATGCTGCTGTACTCTGGTCACGAAGATGCAAATGCTCCACACACGAAGGGATTTGCTCTGATGCTGTTCAAAGAAGCACGAAAAGCACTTGCTGAATGGAAATCTCATGGATCCAGAATAATCAAATCATCATTCAAGACAAAGAAGAAGGGAATCACAATGAATGTTATCAAATGTCATCCACCCACCGATGATTGCAACGACGACGCTAAAAGTCGGTTTTATGAGAGGATGGAATCGATCGTGGAGATGTGACCGGGAAAGGACCTGACCATCCTGATGGAAGACCTAAACACTAAGGTTGCAATGGACTAAGACTGATCATACCAGTGAGTCTCTACATTAACAAGGGAAAAAACAGAAAGGTCCTCAAATGTGACACAGTCAATATCAACCAATTCACACTTGATGGAAAAGCTCTGGAAGAGGCGGAAACCTATACGTATATGGGAAGCATCGTTGATAAACAAGGGGGTCTAATGCGAGTATGAAGACACAAATTGGCAAAACAACGGCACCATTCCTACAGGTAAAGAACATCTGGAACTAAAAACAACTATCAGCCAACATCAAAGTCAGAATCTTCAATACAAATTTCAAGACAGTTTTGCTGTACGGGGCTGAAACTTGTATAGCAACTACACAACCATCATCAAGATGGTACAGGTATTTACCAATGGTTGTCTATGCAAGATACACCAGATCTGTTGGCCAGACACCATCAGTATTCTGGTATAGAAGAAACCAGTTTATAGCTGAGAAAGGAATTAGAAAAAGATGCTGAAGACGGATAGATCACACTAAGGACATCACCAAACTGCATCACAAGTCAAGCTGTAACTTGGAATCTTCAAGGTAAAGGGAAAAGATGCAGACACCAAAAGAATGAACAGAAACTAGGAAATCAAAAGGACTGCCCAGGATAGAGTTCAATAGAGAATCCTGGTGGATGCCCTATGCTCCTCCACCAAAGATGATAGGTGTAAGTCTGTTTAATATAGCTGTTTAGGTATCCTGTTCAAATTTACAACGAATATGTGGCATTATGCAATGACCAACTCATACACTTGGAGAAGTGTGGAGATTTCCTGGTCTTCAAACGTGCTCTTTTTCTATAAATTTGTGATGAGTAACATTATGCAAACGTCAATTAATATTACCCATACGCAAGTTTTACATTCAGAAAAAGGCGCATTCTGTGATAGGAGCCGGAATTAGACATTTGAAATGACATGACTATGAATCAGAGGATCACAGATTAATGGTACTAGTTTCGTCTTAAGACCTATTCAAGAGAAGCATATACGTACAAAAATGTGACGTTTTCTTCATAACTATGTGATTTATCAGGTCAAAATGATAGGACCACAATAAGGAAACAAAAGTAAGTGACTTAAAATTATCCTGCAAAATTAAAGCTAGATAATGTCTAGGGAACAAGTTCTCAGGACTGAATTTATTAGTGAATGAAATGAATATAACCTTAGACCTGATTTTTCCAGGGTGACAAATGCTTTTGAGATTTGAAACGAAACCCGCATCCCTACAAAGTGTTCCTTAATGCTAATTCCTAACCATAGCTGCTGGCCCATTGAAAGTGGCCGAATTTTGTTCATTACATAAAATGGTACTACGACTCAGCTTTCCCTTGTAAGTACGCCGCCAATACATCATTGCAAACAACTGTTATGTTCAGTCCTTGATAGGTTTTTGACTAGTCTGAGGGTACGTATTGAAATTGAGGAGTGTGAGGAGCAGTATGAGAATCTGGATGAGAGGACGTGAAGAGTAGACCAAAAAGACTCAGTAGGTACATATAATGCACTTACGTCTAGTAATAGAAGCAATCAAAAATAACTAAAAATGATAATTAGACAATCTGATAATCAAAAGTAGAAGTTGGTAGCGTGAACTGCACCCTGACTTCTTGAAACCCCCTCCCCACAACTCTGTTACAGCTTCAAATGACAAACTATGTTTAGTTGAGTTAGTGTACTATTTGTTACTTGGGTTCTGAGTCTGAATAGTAAGAGAGCATTTCTGGTTATAGAAACGTACCGTCTACGCTATGCTCAGTTTCAAACTGAAGGGTAACACAAGTCAGTAAGTTGTAGCAGAAGTAATCATAAAGTAACATTTGAGTCCATTAACTTCAGGGCCTGCAGAGTTCAAGTAAACATCGAGCTCTTTTGAAAGGCTCTGAAGGATGTGTCCTTACTATTGTCTCTGGTAAGGAGCCCATATCTTTGTTATTTTGACCAAGAGAAAGTTTGCACGAACTTTTGTGAGAAATCTGTAACGGTAAATAAGTCCACAAAACAAAAAATTCTGACAGTCTTTGATATTGATGTGGCTGCATTAGTTTTATTGAAGCCACCTAGCTGAAGACGCTCGTTCATGCATCCGCACCAGATCACGAGTGGGTACGCCGTGCTAAACATACTTAGAAACTGTTACCCACCTTTGACCGAATACTTCGCGACATATTTATAGCGTTCCATATATATATCTTCGATCCACTTCATTTCTAGCTTGGCCGGGTTCGATGTACTCCGATTATAATAGTGTTAGGTGTAAATGCGTTGTCAAACTCCAAACACCTGTGGCATCTTCACTTAGTTCGTGATTATCCTTAGTCAGGCTAATGTTATGTTTACGGTGTTCTATTCTGATACTGAAGTACAGACGTCCTATTTTCAAGCCCTCAGTCAGCTAAGTGAGACGACTAAGAGAGAAGAGTAAAGTTTATTGGGCTGAACCGACTCAATTGCGTAACCAATTTAAAAAATATATGTACTCGATAGAAAATAAAGCCATTTCTATTCAATAACATATACTTATGACTGGATTACATAAATTGGACATAACATTTGGCGAATTCTGATTGGAAAAATCTATAATCTTTCATCCTAAAAATAAACTGGGTTCCTGAATTAAACTATAGGTTCTGAAACAACCAACCATTTCTTAACAATCTTTTGCAGACTTATTTTGCTTAAGATTTTCCTAATACACGTATTTGGCAGGAGCTAGGTGGTCTACTTAATCCAGATGAAATTTCTTTATAATGAGTCGTGCAGATAACGCGACAAACAAAATTTTAATACTCCATGTTTCTCATTCATAACCGTCGTGGAATCTGACACTGACTTAAAATTACGTTACATGCCAAATTTCTTAGAGTTTATTAAATGTCCGAAATCATGTTTACATTCTGTCCTATTCATTTTTCAAGAGGATCTATTATCTGAAAAAAGTAGCTATTGGATCCCTATTTCCACTGATTGCAGAGGATTTATTCATTCATTCTTTCGAAACGGATGGAGCCACAAAATGTACGACCACCGGAAATCTGTTCACTGTATGTAGGTGATACTTTCATAGTATTAGAAAAAACATGGAAATGAGAATTTACTTAAAATATTTAATAACATTCATCCGTCGATTACTTTTACGATAGAGGAAGAACAGAATAATAGCACAACGTTTCAATATGTCCAACTAGCTAGAAGGGCAGATGGAACATTAAAAAGAGGGATACATATGAAGTATACAGATGGACAATATATTCATTTCTATAGTGCTGTGCCAATCAGATACAAAAGAAACTTAATAAAGATCCTGACTTATCGTTTTAAAATGATTTGCTCAGGTAACACCATTGTAAATGAATTGATCAATATTGGCAACCTGATTATTAGGAATAGATACCCAACGAAATTCGCCACATCCATGTCTATTTACCAATTTAACTGCTCCTATGGAGCCAGTTATATAGGGTGTACAATTCGGCAAGTCTGTCATCACATTGTAGAACACCATCCGTCTTGGCTGAGCAAAGGACGGGTAATAGTGTTTAAGAGTTCTATTCTCGCTTACTTGGTGGACACAGGTCACCAAGTTGGATTGAATAAAGCTTTTGAGGTTACCCACCATATTCAATCGACTTTGCTATGTGGTCTACCAGCTCATCTTTTGCACATTGCTGAAGCCATTGAAAACCATGTTCACAAACCAAACCTTTGCATCAAAAAGAAGTTTGTACAACCGCTCTCGTTACATTTGCCATCGGTGTAGGAGTGAGTTGGTAGCAGAACTACGATAAGTAAACTATGATAATACTCTCAACATTCATCCCTTAACTCCTACATAACTACCATAATACTGAACTTCCATCAAAATATTTTATTAGTTCCCCCTTTTCTATAAATTATTCAGCGTATCAACTTCCTGGTTTTCGAATAATCACTTTTGTTATAATCCTCTTTCTTCCAATTGCACGATGTTATTTTGTAATCAATATGCCATTATGTAACTATTGCGTAACGTAACTACTCGATGAGTATTATTTCATTGTTGTAAATCATACATATGTATATTAGTGTAGAACCATAATGAAGAACTAATTGGGAAGAAATTTATTCGCTCGACTCGTTCTTTTTATTAACAATGACCTTTAGAAAAAGCATATGAAGGCGTATAATCTAGAAATTTCTGAGGGTGTCGATTTTCGGAAAATAATTATTAGAGTTATCATTATGTGCTTTTTGTAAATTAAATAGTTGGGATCTCTTTGGCAAGCTTAATACTAACTGATATATCGTCCACCTCGTTGAATAATTCTAATCAATCTTGCTCGATCACAACAAATTTTTCATCTACATACAGTGAACAGATTTCCGGTGGAGTCGTACATTTTGTGGCTCCATCCGTTTCGAAAGAATGAATGAATAAATCCTCTGCAATCAGTGGAAATAGGGATCCAATAGCTACTTTTTTCAGATAATAGATCCTCTTGAAAAATGAATAGGACAGAATGTAAACATGATTTCGGACATTTAATAAACTCTAAGAAATTTGGCATGTAACGTAATTTTAAGTCAGTGTCAGATTCCACGACGGTTATGAATGAGAAAATTAGAGGATTAGGAAGTGTGCTGTGATTTAATTACTTAGGAGTTAAAAGTCCTTCATGTTAAAAAAACATACTGATTGCGTAAGCATGGATTCAGTTGGTTGCCACGGATCTATCACTCGTCTCATGAGTTTCTTTGAAATACTAGTTCTAATTATGTATACAAGTCAACGCCAAAATTAAACCCCTGATGACTTTTCTATTTTGTTATAAATTGTTAATTTATATCACCTACTGTCTGTCAAGCTAAATGTCGATCTTAGTTTATCAATATCATTTTAAGAGTTATTAATGCTCGTCAGTAAAGTATGCTTTCACCATCTGGGATTGGACTACACATATGGGTTGTCAAAATATTAGCACTCGAGCACGTATTACCTACAGTTTGACGGATAAGCATATCATTGATTTAGACTTGCGTTCATTTGTTCTTAAAAAAGAACGAGTCCCAGGAAATGATGACAATTTGCAAACAGATTTGGTGAATAAATAGTTCGCTAATTTCGATCAATTCAATTTCACATACTCTTCGATTGGCGAGACTGAAATTTGTGGACGAACCAATCAGATTTACGATAACAGGTCTTGAATTTTGGTGCGAAGTCAATCCATTCACTTCGCTCAATAGTTTTGACATTATATCTAATGTCTGTTAGCGATGAAAACCCTAAATCCAATCCTTAACCCTAACTATCAACTGTAGACATTAATCCTAATCACTCACACTGGTTGATTACCCTTATTTAGCTGTAAAGTGTATGTGGATATTCCCAAGGTCTTTTTAGAGTCGCTTTAAGGTTTTTCATAAATTATAGTCTCACCCTTCGATCGATTCGGGGACGCCAAGTGATGTCAAGTTTTTATCATGAAATCTTCCTTACTTTGGCTATTACTATTTGGTTCTACTACATTTGAAGTGAATCGATCCTGTGAGTTAGCACGAAGAAGTGGAGGTACATAAAATTCTGCTCACTGGTTACTTATGTCGATATTAGTGCATATAAGTCCTAACCATAATACCACAAAAACTGGCGTTTACTCTTACTTTAACAATTCCAGGGAACAATTCACAGAAAATTTCAGACTTCAGGTTAAAATCTCCGCTGGTTTTGGCTAGTTGTTTTTTAGTGCATGTTGAAGTCACAACACTACCCATGGTACACGTATTCTCCAGCATAAAACTCAGTAAGCCCGTTAGTATAGATGAAACAGACCATGCAGGATTCCATGTGTCAGGATGAAAATCACTTATTGATAGACACAGTCTACAAGAAAAATCAGCTATACCATAACATTCCCCACCTCGTGTTACATGCGAATCTACCGTTTGGTGTTATCATGTATATTGAAGGAGGTCGAAATGGAAAATCTCTCGGAAAAACAAGTTTCCCATGGTAATAACCTCCTTTATAAGGTGAATCAACTGGTCCTTTGATGACATAATGCCACTCAAACAGGTTAGTTGGAAGTGGCTCTGCAGTTATATAAGGAACCGGGTCCTTTGAAAGCCTTAGGTAGTCTTGTTTCAATCGCTGTAGTGCAGTTGAACAGTTCACTGAACGATTATTACCAGCCATCAAGAATGTCGTAACGCATAGGTTGATTTGTACGGTTGTTAAAGAAACATTTGTCACTTTGCTGTTTTCTCTACATGTACATTTTTTATTACTTTGTAGTGACTCACATTTATCACGAGAACACGACTGGTTTAATAAAAACAATTATTATTATAACCAACGCCTGCTGCTTTCAAACGGTTCAGTAAGAAGGGTTGTGTGTGGCTTTGTCAACAGTGCTGCTCGGATGCAAACAGCTTGTTAACCGAGGCCATCTCACTGGTTGATGCTGCAAAGAAGTGTTTCAACAAGCATAGTCGGAACGCGTCAAACAGCACTCGATCTGTTGACACGCAAATCAATGTGAAGGAAACTAAGGTGAGTCCGGTGATAGATGACTCACGCCCGTCAAAGAAGGAAAAGCAGTCTCCAAAGGGGCCTGCCTTAAAAAAAGCTCAAGAAAAGTAGGGTCTTCTGTTCCCCGTCTCCCAGATGGGATCCAACAGGAAACACCTAGGAGCCGCAATCGCAAGGCTCGATCGGTTTCAAACGGTAAACATAACACGACCTCTCAGGTCGTCGACAACCCCCCAAAACCCAACACTAGGTTTGACGCAACTGTTATTGCTTCTACCAGCACCGTTGACGAATGGGTAAAGGTTGTAAGGAAGAAAAGTAGGGATATAAAAGGGAAACCTGCCCCCGTAAAAGTGGTTGAAAAATCGAAAGCTGATCATAGCGACAGATCAGCTATTTTTCATAGAATTAAGGAGAGCGATAGCTCTGAACCTAAAGCTCGTTTTGAGCATGACATTGTACTGATTAGGCAGCTGCTTAATCAACTCATGCCTCAAAATATGACTGGGGTCACCTTGCTAAAGGTGTATAGACTAGGGAGTCTAACGGACTCGAAACCAAATCATTCCAGACTGCTTAAAGTAGTATTCGGCTCTTCAAACGAACGTGACCTAATTTTACAAAATGGACACAAATTAAAGGGTTCAGGAGTCTTTATCCGAAAGGACCTACCGTTGGCAGACCGTGTTAAAAGACGGGAAGCCGAGAAAGAACTACAACATAGGTTAGACGCTGGCGAAAAGGACCTGAAAATTGTAAATTTTCGGGTTGTAAGACTTCGACAGAGAATGATGCCGAAGCCACTCTGGGTGAAGCACGAAGGCACTTAAACAGGCTTCGGATCTGTTACACCAATGCACGAAGCTTACTTAATAAGCGATCGGAACTAGGTGTGCAGATTGACTCTATAAAGCCAGATATAATCGCAGTAACAGAAACCTGGCTGACACAGGCTATAGATAGTATAGAACTTGATTTCGAGGGCTTTACGTTAGTAAGGGCCGACAGAACACAAAAGCGCAAAGGAGGGGGAGTAGCTCTATTCATTAGGAATGCTATCCCATTTACCATTATCGATAGTGTATCCCATGAGAGTGGGACGTGTGAATTAGTTAGTCTTCGCTTAAAATGCAAGGGACAAGAGCTGCTGATTGGTTTGGTCTATCGCAGTCCAAGCTGTGAGGCAAATGAGATCCTGTTAAGCAGTCTCAATACTTGGTCCCAAAGTGGTCGATGTCTAATCCTAGGGGACTTTAATGCACCTATGGTAGACTGGGAAAATCTGCGAACTGAATCGTCAGAAAATTCCTTCGAGCAGGAACTAGTTGATGCGGTTATCACATGTGCCCTAGTGCAACATGTGAAAGAAGCGACTAGGTACGACCCGGACACTGAATCATCCTTATTAGATCTTATACTGACTCACTATGAGGATGATGTTGCGAACCTCCACCATATGCCACCCTTAGGTAAAAGTGACCACGCAGTTTTAACTTTCGACTTCCATATAACTGCCAGTCATGAGGACGCGTCAGTCCAGTCCAGACCCAACGTCTGGAAAGCAAACATACCAGACATCATGCACTCAGCATCGTTAATAGATTGGACAATAGACCCAGAGTCCTCCATTGAAACGGCCTGGGACGCATTTCGAAATTCATACTTAAAAGTTACCACACCTCACATCCCTTGGACTATACCAAAGGGGCCGAAAAACTCACCACCATGGTTCAGTAGGGAGGTCCGTATCCTTCTCCGTAAGAAAAGGAAAACGTGGGATAGATTTAGGTTACTGGGGACTGATGAGTCAAAATCTCAGTATCGAAAGGCTCGGAACACTTGTGCCTCGACCCTCCGTAAGTCTAGAAAATTGTACGAAGAAAAACTTGTTAAGGAATCCATAGAATGTCCTAAACGCTTGTATTCCTATATAAACCAAAGGACAAGGAGAAAAGGAAATATTCCTGCTCTATGGGGAGACAGTACTGCTTCATCATTAGTGGAGGACGACTTTGGTAAGGCTCAAGCGTTCTCGAACTACTTTAGCAACGTGTATACCATAGAAGCGCCCTTCTCGTCAGCGTATACAGATCCCCCCATACATACACTGGATAGCGTGACCATTAAAGAACTCGATGTCTTTGGTCTGCTAAATAAGCTTGACATAGGTAAATCCACGGGGCCCGATGAATTACATCCTAGGCTACTGAAGGAATTATCTAACTTCGTTGCGAACCCTTTAAGTACATGCTTTAACCTATCCGTTACGCAGGGTCGCTTACCGAAAGATTGGAAAAACGCCATAGTAAGTCCTGTCTTCAAAACAGGCACGAAACACAAACCTGAGAACTACCGCCCCGTTAGCCTAACTAGTGTGGTTGTTAAAATATTAGAAAAGATTATTCGGAAGGAGCTGTTTAAGTATCTCGATAAAAACCGGATCCTCTCGGAGAAGCAGCATGGCTTCAGAATAGGTTATTCTTGTCTCACTAACTTATTAGTGGCTCGTGAAAGCTGGTGCGCTCTTAAGGACCAAAAGCTACCTGTAGACGTCGCCTTCATTGATTTCAGTAAAGCTTTTGATAAAGTTCCGCACAACCGGCTGTTATATAAGTTAAGACATATCGGGATTGGAGGCAATTTATTGATGTGGATAAAAGACTTCTTAGTTGGGCGTCAACAAAGAGTAAGGGTGAACTCAAAGTTATCTAGCTGGGAAACTGTGCTTAGTGGAGTGCCCCAGGGTACAGTTTTGGGGCCAGTGCTATTCCTCTTGTATGTAAATGACCTTCCTTGTCTCCTATCATCATCGGTCTTGCTATATGCTGACGATGTCAAGATATGGAGAACGATACGATGTAAGAGTGATAGCTTAGAACTTCAAAATGACCTGAAGAAGTTATCTGAATGGTCTCAAACATGGCAGTTGCCGATAAATACTTCCAAGTGTGTTGTGATGCATATCGGTCATCAAGGCACAGATACATACACGATGAATAACACTGAGCTACCTGTCGTCCAGACATATAATGACTTAGGAGTTATCGTTAGTCAAGACTTAAAGACTACTGCACACTGCCGTGCAATAGCCGCCAAAAGTTTTAGAACGTTATGGTCAATACGTAGGGCTTTTAGTCATGTCGACACTAAGACGTTTTTGACTTTGTATACAGTGTTCGTTCGTCCTAAACTTGAGTACTGCATACAGGCGGCTAGCCCCTGCTTAAAAAAGACAGTGAGCTTCTGGAAAAGGTTCAGAGAACGGCGACTAAGCTGGTTCCCGCAATAGCGAAGCTTCCGTATGAATCTCGACTGGCCAAGCTGAACCTTTTCCCGTTGTCATATCGCAGAACTAGAGGCGACTTGATTACAGTCTACAAATTGCTTAGTGATAAATTTGCACCTAACATGCCCTCATTTTTCTTGTCTTCCAAAACAGAGAATTTACGAGGACACTCCAAAAAAGTTCATAAGCCGAGAACAAATTACTTGTCAGCTGACTATCGACTTTCCCATCGAATCATCAACGAGTGGAATTCACTACCTCAGCACGTCGTTGAGGCTCCATCCGTCGACTCTTTCAAAAGAAAGTTGGATCAACTGAGAGACCACCATTGCCAGGACTAACATAGGCCATCGAGCCTCCTGTCCTTCCCAAACTGAAACTGAAACTGAAACTGAAACAACCGTACCAGTGTTTGTTTTAACGTGCTTTTGTTTGACTGTGCTAATGACAGCTATTTTGTGCTTCCATTCTTTTACTTACACTTTGATTGTAACTTCGCGCGAATTCGGTTACGTTCTGTAACCAAGCTTGTATTCTGGCACGATCTCGGTATCCTTTCGATGCCACGAGATCGCCAGCGAATACATCTCGATTTGGTCCATTAACTGTCTTCTGATATTTGGCTTCTCGGGGATTTTATGGATTTATTTGGTTACGTCCAACCCTCGCCTTCTGATTTATTTGGCATGTGTTTCTTTGTAGCGGTGTTCATAGTTAATCACAACTCGACGCCACGCTACAATTGGTGATCCCAAATTTTGGAACACGCCTCAACTTCTGGTTAAATCTTCCAAAGAAGCCAATTCGGTGAGTCTATGGTTTATCTATCCACGTCTGTCGTATATTTTCATATTTTTTAATATATAATATACTCGACATGACGGATAACGATAAGAATAGTATTAATATAATAGACTCCCATGTACGTGTACCGAATCCTTGTTACTTATTATTCGCGTGACGATGAATTCCACGCTTTATTCGAGAAAGTTTCCCCTATTAACTATTCTCCTCGCTGACCCGGCTGCTTGGTACGGAATGCATACGCATAAGCATACCTGTCTACCACCCAGCACCAAATGGTTAAGTAAACGGTTTCACTGCCAACTTAAAAGTGCTATACGAGCACACGAAAACGGCAACTGGCACGAAACCTTACCGCTCGTTCTTTTAGGGATCACAACGAGCTTGAAGGCAGATATACAATGTTCCGCCGCTGAACTGGTATTCGGCACGACATTGCGTCTGCCCGGAGAATTCTTCACACCACGGAGCAGACCTAATTTCGGTAAATCAGACTACGTCCATCGACTGTCTGCATTTATGCGAACGCTGTCTCCGGTGTCAACTCGAATACAACATCGACAGGTCGCTCTCCCTCGAAAGTTATCTACCTGTTCACATGTTTTCATACAAGTAGAT